GGGAGAAGCATGTGGAAGGACAGACCAGTGACTGGGGTGTTAGAGGGAGACTTGGGCTTAAGTCTCTGCTCTGCCATAGACTCCATGTGGAACCTGGGGCAAGTCACTTGTCTCTGTAGCAGGACAGATCAGGTGCTAACCGGTATCTGGATTGCTGGAGGGAGGAAGGGTACCTGGGTGTTGAAATTAAGCAGTTGAGGTGTGTGGCCGTGGCTGCTGCCGTGGGACACCAGAAATGTCTGGGCACATGCTGACACAGCGTTGCTTTGTGGTGTTCCAGCTCAGAGCTGGGAGCTGGACTCTGACTTCGCTACTAACCCGGCTCTGAAGTGTATCTATGGGGCCAGGAGGGATCTCAGTCACTGCAGTGTAAACACACAGGAAGAGGTTCTGGATTTACACAGGAGTGAGGCAGGTCAGAACTAGGGATGTACAAATGCGGCTAAAAAGGTCTAACCACTAAAAAGCCTAGTGGTTACTGCAGGCTCTGCACAATAAGCCTTATGCTGCCGAGCCCACAGCAAAGTCTCCCTGGAAATGGGGCTGGTCAGCGATGCTGCTGGCTCCGTTCCTGAGGAGGCTTTGCAGCCTGCTCCCGGGGGCCAGGATGTAACCAGTGGCAGGAGAGAGGGGGTCACCCTTTCATGGTGACATGCCACTGGAGAGAGGACAAGGGCGAAACCAGCAGACCCCTCCCCCCGTGGGAGATGAGACGGTCACCCCAGAGTGTGACAGGGCCATCCCCACTCACCTCTCCCCCCGCAGGACACAAGCTGTGGCTGATGCTTCCTGGGTGCTCAGGTGCTGATCCCTCAGGAGAGACCTCTGTAAATTCATGCTGGTTGGCGCCTGCTTGTTCTGCTAGGCCGCACATGCTGGGATTGCAGACGCACGGCCGGATCAAGCCCCTGCTCTGCTAGTCTAATAGGCTTTGTTCCCGCAGGGAGCACAGCTTGAAATCACACTGAACAGAAATATGGGGGGCTAGTTCTAGTGCTGGCCATCTGTGAGAGCGGGGCTGTCGCCCTCCTCAGCAGATCTCGCTGCCCCCGGTCTCGTGTTCATTCATCTCAGCCGCGAGATGAAACGGATGGAGGGGTACATCGGATTGCAAAGCCACAAGCGCCTGAACTTGGACCTAGTTGTCTGTGTAAGACCCAGTGTCCCAGGGTGAAAAGCTCCATGTGCAGAATTCTCCCCACTCCGCATTCGCATTTCTGGCATGAACACACGGGGCTGGCTGAGGTTGTTTTGTTCAGGGGGAGGGCTGCATGTGGGCCACAGGTATAGAGAAAGTCATCCTGCCCTTCCTTCAACACGCACAGCCAGGAAGAGCCGCGGATACAGCCCGATGCTTTTCTGTGGTGATGCTGTTCCCCAGGTGGGGGCAGCAATCCCTTGGCTAGTTCTCTTCCCACTGGCTAGCACCTTCCCAGCCAAGCACCCTTGGGAACCCAGCAATTCCCTGAGCAGGTGAGAGAAAACGACGAGATCTTGACTCTCTGCAGGGGCTGACATGATGCTCCCTGCCTGGTGGGGGTGAGATGAAGGGTGGGAGCCAAGCTGTTGCTGGTCCAAGGCTTTGCAGAAAGGAGACAAAGGGAGCTCGGGGGTGTGAACTAAGGATTGGTGTGTGCAAAGCGTGGCCCTTGCAGGCTTCCCCCAGCTCCAGCCAGGAGGAACAGGTGGAGAAAGCACCCCTTTCATAAGTATGGGAGATGGGCTCGTGAGAGATCACACTCCTGGATTGACATTCTAGCCTCGATTCAAACTCAAATGCCGAACCTTAATCCAGAAGCCCATGTGCTTGTTGTCCAGTTCTGTCTACACAGCACAGACCTGCTCCTGTCTCACCCGCCCTCGTCAGGTTTGTGGGTTATTTTAAATCTCAGAGAATCTCCCAGAAATCCTTCCAAAAAGGAGCCTGGTGCCATGCTGTGCAGCCAGACCACCTCCGAGGTGCGAGCAGCCCTCTCTAGTGCAGCAGAGTTAACTCTGAAACCTAACGATCACGGCAAGTAACAACATGGTTAACTACTTCACTGCCGGTCCATTTAGTGGAAACATCCCCCACTCTGGTATAGGGAAGGTGCCACTATTTTGCCCCAATCCCTCCCTACCAGTCAGATCTCTTGAGGGAATCAGTCTCTGACCTGACCCCTTCCAGGTAGATGGACCAATTCCTAGACACAATGTTACTCTTGCAGGCTAAGCGACCTGTTTTGGAGGCAGGGAAACCACAAAAGCCACAATAAGAGCACGGCTGCCGTGTGGGAGAGAGCGAGCATCCCCACACAAGCACCGCTTGTCGATCTCCTCTGTAACACGCTGCATCAGCTTGGCACCTGCCCCTTTACATCCGCTGTCGGGGAGAGGCACTTACAGCCCTGCGTCGTTTTGTGATCCTATGGTTAATCTAGCCGAGGAGGGGCGGGGGCAGGGGAAAAGCACACTGTGGATTTATATGGTGCAATAAAATGCCCAGGCTTTGCCCGGGTGTTGATTTACCACAAGAGTCTCATTGCTGGAGTGGGACCGCTGCTCCCCTGCTGTAATCAGTCAGGCTGGCTGGGACACGGAGCCACTGCAGGGCCTGGGTCCATAAATCTCAGCTCCTCCATCACAGAACGGGGCAGCCCTGCTGTATCGGGGACGGGGGCAGGCAGGGCTGCCCAAGGAGACGTCCTCTCCAGCGCTGTCCTTCCAGGAGTGCAGCCAGGTGAATGCTGCAGCTTGAGCCTAGGTATGGGGGAGGGATTATCAAAGGGGACAGAGGTTTTGTTGAGCCAGAGCCCAGTCTCTCGCGATGGGTCCCCGGAGCCCCTAATTGCTAGCACTTGGCCATGGAGCTGCTATTGGGGTCTCACCTTCCCCGTTGTCAGAGTCAGGGGCCGTCTCTTCTTTTTCTCATGAAGATCTCGTCCCTCTCTCTCACTGCACCCTTCAGGCATCCTGAATCTCCCCTCCGGCAGCATGACGGAGCACGAGGACTTTGCCAGCCTGGCCGGGTACTGGAACGCCTCGGACAGCTCTCAGTTCAGCCCCGCCAGCATCATCGTCCCCGTGGTCTTCTCCCTCATCTTCCTCCTGGGCACGGTGGGCAACAGCTTGGTGCTGGCGGTGCTGCTGCGCAACGGCCAGATGGGCCACAACACCACCAACCTCTTCATCCTCAACCTCAGCCTGGCCGACTTCTTCTTCATCATCTTCTGCGTCCCCTTCCAGGCCACCATCTACTCTCTGGAGGGCTGGGTCTTCGGCTCTTTCATGTGCAAGGCCGTGCACTTCTTCATCTACCTCACCATGTACGCCAGCAGCTTCACGCTCGCGGCCGTCTCAGTGGACAGGTGAGCAAGGCCGACACCTGCCCTGGGGCCGCTGGGCCTACCAGATACCCCAGTTCTCAATCCATGTGAGGACTTTCCCTCTTATCCCATGGCAACTTACTTTACTTAAGAGCCTTTGGTGAGGGACCTTGTGAAAGGCTTTCTGGAAATCTAAGTACATTATATCCACTGGATCCCCCTTGTCCATGTTGACCCCCTCAAAGAACTCTAGCAGATTAGTAAGGCACGATTTCCCTTTACAGAAACCATGTTGACTTTCCCCCAACAAATTATATTCATCTATGTGTCTGACAATTTTATCCTTTACTATAGTTTCAACTAATTTGCCCGGTACTGACGTTAGACTTACCGGTCTGTAATTGCCAGGATCACCTCGAGAGCCCTTTTTAAAGATTGGTGTCACGCTAGCTATCTTCCAGTCATTGGGTACAGAAGCTGATTTAAAGGACAGGTTACAAACCACAGTTAATAGTTCTGCAATTTCACATTTGAGTTCCTTCCGAACTCTTGGGTGAATGCCATCGGTCCCGGGGACTTGTTACTGTTTGGTTTATCAATTTGTTCCAAAGCCGCCTCTAATGACACCTCAGATGACGTGGTGCTCGGGTGAGAGAAAGGGCATCAGAGAGAGAGATTCTAGCCCTGTGAGTTAATAGAGGACTTGCCTTTCCATCACTGTCAGACCGTGACTAACACACGTTGACGAATGAGCAGTTTAGAAGCCCCAGCATCTGGCCAATGATGTGATGCACAGATGGTGTGTTCAGACTGGGGGCCAAACTCAATTCCTGGTATAATCAGCGAGAACTCCGCTGTCTGCATTGTGCCTGTTTACAGCAGGGCTGGCTCTGGCTTTAGCCTACAACGGACCCAGTGTCATCTCACAAAAATATTAAGCCAGATGCTCTGCTGGAATAAGTCCGCTCCCCTGACTGCCCCAGCTAGAGTAAATCAGCATCAATGTGCTTGTTTGGCCCATTCTGCCTTAGATGCAGCCATAGGCGTGCACAGCACATTTCATTAGGGTGTGCACCCAAAGAATTTTTAAAAAATGTACTTTGACCCCCATTAGCCACACCCCTGACCCCTGTTAACCACGCCCCTGACCCCCATTGGCCACACCTCCTGACTCCCATTGGCCACACCTCTGGAGGTAACACTCTGGGGGCAAGATGGGCACATAACCAGAAGTAAAAGGTGTCATGTGACCCCCCTCTAAGGACTTTTCCCACCATCCTCTTACCAACAGGGATTAATTTGGCCCCCACCAAACCCCCCTCATGCAGCTATCCTGCAATTGCATTAACCCACTGGGTGTGACATTAACTTGGGGGCGGAGAGGCAGGGGGAAGTGTTCCCTCAGTTTTCTCCCATTAGCAGAATGAATTTTGTGTTGTGCACCAGTACTGAGTTCATGTGGCTTGTTTGGATGTGCCACTGTGGCACCCAAGTTATTAATAAATATCTCATAAACCTCTGCCTTTCCCCTCTGCTGCCATGTCTCCTCCCCTTGCTCCATCAGCTCCCCTGGTGCTTGCTGCCCTCAACCCCTCATCCTCCTCTGCTGTCCTGACTCCTGCCCTTCTTACTGCCCCCCTCCACCAGCCCTTCTCTCCCCCCTGTGCCACTCCTCCAGTAGCCCCACTCTGATCATGTGAGCTACCCCTCCTCATCCCCTCTTCTAACACCGCCCTCTACACCCCTGCCCTGCCTCTCTCCTCTGATGCTGGTCCCTCCCCTGCAGGTGTCTGCCCTTCTGCTTCACCCCCAGAATCCCCTGGCATCTGCACCTTCCCTTAGCCCTGCACCCTCCTGGTGCTCCCCCTTCCCTTACTGCCCCTGCCCCCTTTTCCCCTGGTGCCCA